TACGAACTCACCTAGAGTGTAGTTGTGTTGAAGTTGTGCGTTGTGTTAGTCATAGGTTGTTTTCTCCAAGACTTTGAAAACTGTAGTTAAATATGTTATAAGTTATAAAATATTTAACTACAGTTTTCAAAGTCTTATCATGTACACTGTATATATGTGTTATAACACATATATACAGTGTACATGATAAATCTACTGTTAAATCTATATATAACAGGTTCTACAAGTTTGTTTTGGTGAGAGATGATGTATTTTCTTTTCTTTTGGCATTTTTGTCTCTCATTCATTAAAGCTGGCGTTCCGAACGTTTGGTATTTCTGGCCTCTGTCACCAATCCCAGTCAAATAGTGCCTCACAGGTCTCTTTGCTTTTGTTTGAGAGTATAATATTAGGATTTTCCCCTTGTCTTTTCACATTTAGTCCCACTTATTTACCCTGTTTTGCCCCCAGTGAAATGTGACCTATAGGAATGAACATTGGCACAAAATAAGAATTCTGCCCGTGAAATATTTGTAAAAATAAGACAAAGGCAGCGTATTGTTGTCTGATTTGTTCACAACTTTTTGCTCATACAAGACATTCTGTTGGAATTTAAAAAAGGTACCCAAGCTTTATTATGCGGCTTCCAAATTTAGACAATTACAAATAAATATGGATAAAAATATGTTTAAAAGTTCAAAATCCGGTTTTAAATGTTGGGTTTGATCCCGTCAGGCGAGTTGTTTATGATGTAAATATTGACCGACACTAATGAAAGGTTTCTCTTGTCGTTCCTTGAAACATTCTAGTTTAGACTCAGACCGACTCCAGTTTGGTGGAAAATCACAGAGACACAAATCTGTTTATGAAGCAAGACAATATTCACTTTTCTGATGGCGAGTTAGATTTCAAAACTAAAGTCTCTTCTTGATGTGTGTTTAAAACAAGATAATTTTTCTTTGTCCGATTGGCAAATCATGTTTTAAGGCAAATTAAAGTAGTAATATGTAAGATTGTCAAGTCATCATTAACTTATCTACTGCCAGCCGTTTTTGATGATTTCACTGATTCTCAAGACCCACAGAATATTTTTTCCTATGACTGTGTGAAATATGAAACCAGATTCTGAAAGATTGGATTATCTACTTTCATCAGCAAAAATAAGTTTGTTTCTAGCTATTTTTATTTTCCTGTAATCCCCAGTCGAATAGAGGGTCTCAGACAAATACGTCAATGGCAGTCAATAAGTTAAAGGGCCCTAATCTGTCCAAAGACGTCAAATAAAACCGCTCTTTTCCAATACTTCTTTAACTGATAACAGTAGTTTAGAGATATTTGGGTTTCATTTAATTAGTTTTGCAGCCCCTAAATCTTGTTATTGTTTTCATTTCAATGTCCCGCCCTCCACCGTTTCACCAATCAGAAAGTCAGGCGCCAGAACGCCCCGTGTCAAGCTAATCTCACTGGTAAAGTACCATGTGGTGCAGAACTACAAAAGGTCTCGTTATGATTCTCAAATCATTAACGACAAAACAAGGAATAAAACCAGGATTTCTATCTTTGTGAAAAAGGTGTTGGTTATAGATTTGTTGTTGATAAAACTCTTTATTCTGATATTATGGTCCCAGCTGGATTTATCTGCATATCTGGCAACCTAAGTCAGGGAGTGTGCAGTACCACTTTTGGCCAGATTTTGACATACTGCTCCTTTAAGGTCCTGGGTTCGAATCCTGGTCGGAACAGTGCCTTTCTGAGTGGAGTTTGCATGTTCTCCCCGTATCTGTGTAGGTTTCCTCCGGGTGCTCCGGTTTCCCCTACCACTAAAAACATGCACAATAGGTATGAATGTAAAATGAGAGAGTGAATGGATGATGTTGGAGCTGATGGTCCAGTGTGTTCTGGACTCGCTTCCGTCATCACCGTGTGTGGAAGGATTGGAACAATATCTGACTCTGACCATTGTAAAGTGCTTTGGGTCTGTACCTCAGTCTGTAAACTGCGCTGTATAAATAAACATTACTTACTTACTTACTTACTTACTTAAGATACATTTTGCCCAATTAGAGCATTTCAGTTCTGGATCCTCCTTTAAAACTGGAGTGTCAGGAATGAGGGAAGTCCTCCTACAGCCTTTGCCCGACTTGTTTAGATACAGTTTGGGGACACATTGGTGAAGTTCTGGTGTAGATTTAGAGACAGTGTACGTTTGTCAAACTTTGATTCGGACACACAAGGGTTAAATACAGTAAGAAAGACAGGACAGGAACATACAAAAACACTAAGGCCGCCTGAAAACACATATTCAGATATCTAGAGCTTTTGTTCGTCCCACAGTGGGGAAATTTCAGTATTGCATTGCCAGTTACAGAAGCGTAAGAATGAGAAGCACACAGCACAATAACTCTAAACTGAAATAAAAAAACATAAAGTATAAACTATCAAACTGTAGGATAGTATAAAGTAAGTATAAAATCTCTAGCTTTAGCATAATAAAGAAGCAATTATAACATTTCGAACTTTAGCATTTCCAGACTCCTGCTGCTGTTTGTAAATATCTGGATTAACATTTTCAACCACAATGTTTTGCAAAGATTCCAGTCACAGGCGAGGGCTTATAACGGGCTAAAGGTTTATAGTTTTCTGTTTATTTTCATTTCTTTTATGGTTTTGTTTGCTTGTTTCCATACATGCATCGGGTTTTTTTGGCCCAAGGGGAGCACAGTGGGAAAGACGGATTAAATCAAATAAAATGTGTCTTGTTCTGCTGTATGAATTATGGGAAAAAGTGTAAACTGATGAAGACGATACAAGGAAGTACGGAAAAAATTGTCTAAAAGTCATTCTTCTATTGAAACGTGTTCTTGCTCATTTCTTGCTAATCCGATCACATTTCTGGCTCCTCGCACCTCTTCATACCAACACAATGGCGACTCCGGTCACTTGCCTTTTAAACAGTGTCGAGTCAACAACCTGTTTTGACGGAAAAATGTGCGGAAGTCTCGGAAGTCTCGCTCCTTCCCACATGTGCTGAAGACTCAAATTCAGAGGCACTTCCTCCAGGAGCCGAGAGGGAGGGGCGGCTCTATTCAAAGATACAATCAGTTCTTTTGTAGTTTTCATGCATACATCCTGGTTCATGGAGTGGAAATCCTGCCCTGGTTTATGGACTGCTTTCATCTGTGTGGACATGAATAATGATAATGAATAACAATTTATTATTAGTCAAAAACAGCAGAATATCATGGTCTGATTTGTTCACCACATTTTACTTTCACAAGACATTTTTTTTAACTGTTTTATTGTTTTAATGGATTTTATGTCATTTTATTGTGAAGCACTTTGGTCGCCTTGAGTGCTGTAATGGGCTCTATAAATAAAATTGATTGATTGATTTTGTTGGCATTTCAAAAAGGCACACCAGCTTTAATGTGCGGCTTCCAAAATTAGACAATTGCAATTAAATACGGATAAAAATATGTCCTCAAATGTTTAAAATCCTGTTTAAAATGGTGGGTTTGAACGGTTTGATTCTCTGATCGGTTTTTGGCGATTCAACAACATCGTAAAGTGCTTTGAGACAATTTAAGGTGATTTAGGGATGTAGAAAATAGTATAAACACATATATTTTCCACAAAGTCTATTCCACTGTTGTCGTTGTCTTCACAGAAACATTCAGAGTTTCTCATTGGCCCAAGCTTTTGAAAACATATCAACATTACACAGGGCTGTTGTACCCACGGTGAGGCCAGACGTGTCTCAGCCCGGACCATATCTCCAGAGTCGTGCTGCGTCTGAATAATGCTGGACTGAGAAACTCCCCAAAGCCTTTTTTATTCAAGTTAAGATGAAGAGAGCCGTTATCTGTCATTGTTTTTGATTATTTATTATTATTTTGTTTGTGTGACTACATCTTGACTTGCTCTCACTTGAATGCAGGACACAGTATAAACTAGCTTTCAAAATAATGATAAAAAGGAAGAAAAAAAAAAAGAGAGAAGAGAGTCTTGTTCATCCCACAGCGGGGAAATGTCAGTGTTGCATCACAGGGAGCAGCTCAGAAGGAATGAGGAGCCAAAACACAACAGAGACAATAATAAGCACAACTTTATAAATAAAATAATATCTATATCTTAAGCTTAATATAGAAACAAAGTGTATCAAGTACAGACATTTAAGGTATCAACCTGTATTCTCTACTGACACAAATATGTCTTGTAAACATCTGTAGATAAATCTGTAATACACTATAGTGCTACAATAACTACACACTGCCCTGACCTAATAAACAAACACACAATATTTAAGTAGTGAGTAATTAGCGACGTGGATTCAAACACCGGGGCTCAGTTGGTAGAGCATTGGCCTTAGAGCCTGAAGGTCGTGGGTTCGAGCCATAGACTGTATATAATAATTTCAAGCCCACCACGAGACCTACTTCACGACTCCCACTGATGACTGCTGTCGTTGTGTCCTTGGGCAAGATACTTATTCCCACTTTACCTGAATCCCCCACTGAAAGATCTCAGCTCCTGTGGACTCAGCACCTGCAGGAGGGTCAGTGAGGGGCTGGTGCTCTGTGTACTGGGTGCAGCTCTGACTGCCACCCCCTGACCCAGAAATGGATTAAGGGGAAGAAAATGGATCGATGGATTTAAATATTCGGTGATGAAACTACTGTTAGCATTCTATGTCTATGTTAGCATTATTTGTATTGCACATTTACAAAAACTCCAGCTGCCCTAACTACTTCACACACATACTTTTTTATTTCTTTTTTTTAAGACACACAAATGTAAAGCAGTAGAACTTAGTTGATGTTAAAGGCCAACGCGTAGAAATGTGTCATGTGTCAAATGTTCATTTAAAAACCTCAATAATTATAGGTTCATAATAAGGGGAAGAAAATTGATGGGTGGAATTATACGGAGGTGAACTATAGTCTACAATTTTGGAGAAACAACATTTGTTTTTGGTGTGGTCTGATCCCACTGAGAGAAACACACTCATTTTGAAGGTGTTTATGTTGATTCCATTGTTAAACCCTGAAATAACTCGCATCATAATCATCCCGGCTGCCGTACGTCACTGCCGTCACTGCGCTGGAGGGAAAACAGAAGCGCGTCTTGTTCTCAAATCCTCCGACAACTATGAAGTTATGCGCGGAGTTATTCGGGCCAAATCTCCCTCCGTCTAATATGTAACAGACCGGAGCTGTTTCCCTGAAGCTTAGCTGGCATTTGGGAGACGCAGATGGAGGGAGGAGAGAGGACGAAAGCAGAGACGTCAGGCACAACCCACTTCCACCGGTGGACTACAAATACCGGAGACGCGCGGGGTGCATTTGTATTTACACCGCTGTCATTACGCACGCGTTTGGCCGCTGTGGCTGTCTCTTTACGCACAGCCCGATAGCCCTCACGGAGCTCACTTCGGCTCGGACCGGCTTCGTTTCTCGGTGAGTCCAGTCTTGTTTTACTCTTGAATATGCTGTTTTTCTTTAGTTTGCTCTGGACACGCGTCATGGTCAGCGAGTGTCACGTTTCTTATCCAATTTATCGCTAGAATCAAGTGGCGCCCGTGAATTAACCTGAGACGGTTTGTATGGTTTTTAGATTGTAAGTGAGTATAGGGAGTAGTACTACTAGTAGTAGTAGTTGTAGTAGTAGTACTAAATTGTTATTCATTACAGTAATAGGAGAGGGAAAGTACTATTTACATTTTGATTGTAAGCGAGTATAGGCAGTATAGTTAGTACTTAGTTAGAACGGTTCTGTTTAGCTGTGCATACAGCTGAAGGATTTTATAGATTATAGATACTATTTCTTTATGCATTGTGGCTATTTATTATTTTAATCCCGTGTGTGTTTTTAATGTTTTTAATTACTTGTGATTTTATTCTGTTTTTTTTTTTTTTTGTATATGTAGATTTTAATTTTTCTGATTTGTTTGATATGATGTGGGTTGTGAGGCGCTTTGAGTTGCCTTGTGTTGGAAAGGCGCTATACATAATAAAAGTTGATTGATTGATTAATAGTAGTAGTAGTAAATTGTAATACGTTGTAGTAGAGGAAAAGTACAAATTACATTTTGATTGTAAGTGAGTATAGATAGTAGTAGTAAATAGTAGTAGTAAATTGTTATACATTGTAGTATTAGGAGAGGGAAAGTACTATTTACATTCTGGAGCGCAGCCAAGAAGACCCAGCATTCATCTGTCCTACATATCCAAATATATAGGATTGATGACAGATGGATATTTTTCTTTTCGAAGCAGAAATTCTATCTACAGACATCTACACACTGTGGCTTTAAATGAAAAGTATACACGACCCAGATTCCTCCTTTACAATCTTTTGACCTGGTTAGACTCCTGTTCCTCTCCAGTTTCACCAGTTCTTTTATACTGCTTCCCTTTTGGTAACTATAGAGCTTTGTTACCAATGTCATAAAGGCAGGCTGAATTGAATGATGATATGCTATACTATAAATACACACACACACATACACACACGTCACTTGCATTGTCCATTCATTTTAACGTTTGGGAGAAATCATAAGCACTACTCTCTTTTCCTCTGAAGAGTTTTCCATCTGCAGGTCACGATTTATTGCTTAAAAACCTGAATAACACACATTCTTACTTTAAGCGGAGACAACACAATATCCCTGCAAGAAAGAAAGTGCTCCTCAGGCAAATGGAAATTGGCTCTCAACAATTAAATCTGCAAATCGTGGCTCTTGTCTGTGGATTCCCAATGGTTTTGTAACGATTCTAAAGCCCATATTAACTTGAAACTATTTTATATACGTTTGCCAGCAGGTTTGAGTGATAGATTTTAGCGTCATTTATGAGAAAGTACAAACAAAATTTTCACACTCTCATTCACAATTGGACTCACACCCCGTTTAAGCTCTTTCACATGAAGTTAAATAAATAAATAAGTAATTTATTAAGTAAGTATTTGTTTTAAACATATATTTTTCACACTGCATAACAAAACAAACAACATACGGACGTTCAATTTGAAAGATAAAGTTTGAAAAAGGGTTGGACGAAGCAAATGCTTATTGGGCTCCAACCCCCGCGGCTCTAGCCTGGTCTTACCACACCATCGTACTCATTTCATTTTGTACTAAGGTCTGTGTTTGCTCCATTGAGGTCCGTTAACAGGTGGGAGGGGTTAAGTCCTTTTGCAGATTGAAACCATTGGATCTGAGTTTACCGTGACGTATGTCCTAGTGAGTCACTAGCATTTAGCAATTAGCCTAGCTTTAGTATTTAGCCTAGCTTTAGCCATCTCCTTTGCCACTAATGAAGCCTGTGGGGAGTAGAGCCACAACATCTTTCCAGCAATGAAATCTGCTAAACATTCCTCTACGGCTTCAATTTCTTGATATTCGGAGCCGAACCGGAACGGATTTCTTTACTATCGCATTCGCCGCCATTGCCAAACTACAACCAGCGAACTTGGCGCAAAGCCTTGACGTCACTGACACCTCCCAACAACACCCGCCTCCCCCGCTCTCTGATTGGTCGGATGAGATGCAGTCGCTGGGATCAAACCAGACGTACACGTAGAGAAATAATAATTGACCAGAGTTTACGTGCGGCTAAAGCCAGGCTACCTCGGTCCTGGTATAGACCTGATATTAATCCAAACAAACAAGCGCTGGATGGAAGTTCAATGCCTATTATACCTGGACATTGTTTCTTTGCAACAACACAGACATTGTTTGCATTTCCTCCAGGAATGCACTGACTGTGGTGTCGTTTTTACTTTTCCTCATCCTCTGTTCCGCTGTTCATTTAGCGGATTAAGTTGGCAGAGATAGCTTTGTTTACATTACAAGGCCTTTAAAAGAGTCACAATCTGCCGCTTCAACCCACACGAGGCTGATAAATGTCCATCTGTCCTGCGGTTTGATTATTTTTGGGCAATAATTTAGTCTGTTTAGTTATTTACTGCCGGGAAAGCTGTCATTGTAAAATATCCAACTGTAGTATTTATAAGAAACCACAAAAAAAAACCACATTTCACATGTTAGAAAGAGTTCTGTCTAAGATTCAGATGGAGAGATCCTTTATTTGTCTCACGGTGGGGAAATGTCAGTGTTGCATCACAAGTTACAGAGCAGTAGGAATGAGGAGCACACAGCACAAGATACATGGACAATTACTCTATACTACAATACAATACTAACGGCTTATTAACCGAGCGCCAGGTCTGTATGGAGAAATATCAGACCGCGGCCGTAATGTGCAAAAAGGCCAAGGTCTGATATTTCTCTAGAACAGACCGAGCAAGCAAGGTTAATAAATGTTTTATTATATGACTCTCGTCTGTGTCTTTACCAATGCTTTTGAGATATTTGTGAAGTATGTTCATGTCCGACTTGGTTTTGTGTGATATGCACTGCGGACTGATTGTCATGGTACCCACTAAGCAAGCCGACGTTGAATCAACGTAATTTGAACGTCGTTGTCCGACGTAGAATATAGGTCACTGGTGGGTGCAGAATGAAAGTTTTCTCGACGTCGTTTCCCGACGTCACTTCAACCTCCAAATGTTACGTTGATGGCACGTCAATTCAAGGTTTGAATGTGGTACGGAACCGGTCGGGTCTGACGTCCTATCAACGTCTCATATGACCAAAATATTGACGTTTATATGACGTTCGTTTTCAGTCGTTCCCACTAAGCAAGCAGATGTCAAAACTATGTCATTTCAACGTCATCTGGACGTTCATTCAAGGTTGCAATGTGGTACAGAACCGGTCGGGTCCGACGTCCTATCAACGTCTTATATGACCAAAATATTGCCTTCATATGACGTTCGTTTTCCGTTGTTCCAACTAAGCAAGCAGATGTCAAAACTATGTCATTTCAACGTCATCTGGACGTTATCTGGACGTTCAAATGACGTCGCGGCCACTTCATTCAAGGTTGCAATGTGGTACAGAACCGGTCGGGTCCGACGTCCTCTCGACGTCTTATATGACCAAAATATTGACGTTTATATGACGTCCATTTACAGTCCTATTGACATACTTAACCTCTGCAGAATCACTCACTGGTCGAGACATACTTTTTGCAATAGGCAAGGCAAGTTTATTTGTATAGCACAGTCAAAACAAAAGGAAACTCAAAGCACTGAACAAAAGATAGAAACAATCAAACAAGGCATTACAATTATAAATATTGACTGTAAATTAAAAAGAAACAAATAAAATCTCTCATAAAATCTCTCAGTTGAAGCAGAAACAGAAGTGTTTTAAACCTGGATTTTAACATTGTCAAAGAAGAAGCCTGTCTCACATTTCCAGGAAGACCGTTCCAGATTTTAGCCTTGTGAATCTGAAATGCAGCTTTATCATGTTTAGTTCTGACTCTGGGCAATAAACGATAAACACAGCATTCAAAAATCATTAGAACAACTGTAGTAGAAGGATATCAGTCATTATTGCAAATGGAGCTGCATTAAAAATCATGTTTCTCTACATCAAAGTACAAGTTAAAGCACACAGGGCACAGTGTTATGTACTGAACACTGTACTGAACACTACTGTACTGAACAGTTCATGCCAAAGTAAAAAAACATGATTGTAGCGCCTATGTATTGGATCAGTATTAAAACAGGCACAAGCTACACTCTAGGTTCCCCAGATGTAAAAACACAATCTGAAAGGCAGAAGAATGCATTTATTGAATGTTGAGGTTCCAACATGTGTCCTCTCTTGGTCTTCAGTCTCTCATCACAAGGTCCAAGCACAGCACCTGAAAATGTGGAACATGTTTAGTTTCAACATAATGTGGCAAAGTGATATAACAACACATAACTTTCTATTAATGCCTCAAACCACTCGATCCATCACCATGTGATACAAACCTTGGCACTGCACTAGCTCGAGACACTGGAAGACACTCCGTCTGAGAAACTTGGGATAAGGCTTTGGTCATTGGAGTAATTCCATGTAAAAAACAATTGCAAATGTGCATTTGTTTTGCACATGGACACAAATGAGCCCTGAAAGCTACTTACCCTGTATTACTCTACACATGTTGCATTTCCGAGGGGGCATTTTCCCCTTGTTGCTCTTTTCCCTCATCTTGAGTGAGTTGCTGAACAATCTGAGAAAAAGATGGATGTTTTCAAAGAGAATACACCAAATAATGGTTTATTCTAAAAACAACATATTAATACAGAACAACAATCAATGTGTGAGAGTGTGATTCTTACCTTTGAACACCTTCAACACAGTCTGACACCTGTAAGACTCAAACACACATGACACATTAGGAATACACACAGAACATTAGTTATTGCAACAATCATGAAATTATACTCTATGGATTTCACAATAATTGACTGCATTAGCAAAGGTAAATGTATTTTAATTAACATATGGCTGGTTTTAAAGTTTATAAGAAAAAGTAAGAAATTGAATAGAGTTGCA